GGTATAGTAAAAAACGTGGCCAAAAACTCCTTTCTAAGGAGAGGCCTATGTCCAGCAGTGGACTATCAAGGCAGGATATTTACCCAGGTTGTTTTAATTTTGGCCAATGCCCATTATATTTTCTTCTAGTGATTTATTGATCATATTGTAATAAAATAAGTTATAATACATTTGCGCCAATGGTGTATATTTTGAGTACTTAGCCACGTAATAACACCATCATGAGATATCGACATCCTGGATTTATTAAGCGGTTATTACGCGTTATCATAATTACACCAAACTATAACATTTCACAGTACTGTTATCCATACTTATATCATAAACTAGCTGACCCGCGCAACTTCGTCTGCGTCTCTCAATAGTAATAAATTTTCTCCGTTTTCGAAACATTCTTCATTGGTGCTCCGCTCCTATTGGTCTTAGCGTGATGATATATAGCCTATAGCCTTCCTCGATAAATGGGCTATCTAACACTGAAAGAATTTTTCAAATCGGACCAGTAGTTCCTGAGATTAGCGCGTTCAAACAAACAAACAAACTCTTCAGCTTTATAATATTAGTATAAATACGAAAGTGGTTCTGTCTGTCTGACTGTCTGTTTAGTAACCTCTTCACGCTTAAACCGCTAAACCGATTTAGATGAAATTTGGTATAGAGATCGTTTGAGTCCCGGGAAAGGACGTAGTATAGTTTTTATTACAGAAATCATCCTTTAACGGGTGAAAAGGGGGTTGAATAAACTTCAAATTAACAAATTATCCAACAAATTATCCAAACAAATGGATAGGACGAGGTGGGCCGTTGCCATGGCCAGCAAGAAGTCCGGACCTAACTCCCATGGATTTTCATGTGTGGGGGTGCATGAAAAGTCTTGTGTACAGCGAGCCGAATCCAGTTTCGTCTGTGGAAGACTTACGAGAAAGGATTGTGGATGCAGCAAATAAAATGAGGACCACGTTGACCACTGGAGTAGTGAAGACTGGTCTCCGTAGAAGGATGCGACAATGTATCAGAAATAGAGGCGGCCATGTTGAACATGAACTGTAGAATAAGAAAAAGTTGTGTGAAAACCTTTAATAAATGACATTTCATGCTTAACTATTGTTTTATTATATGGGAGATCAATAACCGTTAAACCGATTTAAATAAAATTTGGTATGGAGATACTTTGATTCTTGACGAAGGAAATAGGCTTTTTACCGCAATAATCGACATAGACGCGGGCAGAGCCGCGGGCAAAAGCTAGGTATGTATAATTAACAAATAAATAGTTGAAATTTAAAAAGAAAGTAATGTTTTTCCAGTAGTAGTCGGTAATACCTATGTAGTAAGTAGGTCGCATATAAATATATGTGTTATCTTAAAACCGGTGTATACCGGAATTCGGTATCTTTTGGCGTTCATTCAATTTTATATATGACACATTTGTCCGAATTTTAATATAGCTCGCTAAAAAAACATTTTGTTTGACAGTAAGACGAGTAATATTCCAGTAATTTGTAAATGTTGTTTAAAAAAATCATTGAATATGGATTCAACGGTTGTAGCTGATTTTGCGAGCCGATTCGATAAGGAATTAATTTAAAGAATCAACCTCCTTTCTAAGGAGAGGTTTATGTCCAGCAGTGGACTAGTAAAGGCTGTTAATGATTGATGAGAGAGAGACAAGACTCCGTATCAGTTGATAGACTTTGCAAGAAGATAAGTTTTAAACATTTTAGATCAGGTGCATGCAGGTAAAGAGTACGGGATTTGTTCGTCCTCATAGTCCTCCTTTGCGTGCTTTGCCTTTGCTGCGTGTCTCGTCTGTTCCTAAATAAGTGGCTTAGTTTGTATTTTAGATGTACTTATGTAATTGTAATATCAATGACGTATTATAATATTGTTTGTTTATATATCATTGCCTAATATTTTGTATGCCTTTCGGCGGAACATAGCTTGTACATAATAAAATTGACATCTTAACCACCTATGTATTACAAACTGAAAAATTCAAGCGTATTCAGTATTAGGTCTTTAATAAATCATCAATAAACTGCCAATGCGTTGGCAAAGATGCGTCGATTGCATGGGTGATTACTTCGAATAACAGAAATAAAAAAGTTTGAAAAAATAAGTACTTTCACTTATTGCATACAAAACCTATTAGTTTAGTCCCTGTAGTCAAAATTCTTATCAAATCTGTGTTGTGTTGCTCATACTTTCAATTCTTAGTCTATAAATCAAAATTAACTTTTGTAACCAAGGTAAGTCTGAGTCAAAATTCTTATTCTACTATATGATATACTCTGATTAACATTTCAGATCAGGTGTTAGCATTCAGGTCTTTGTTAAAATCGTGCACTGGTGCGTCTTGTTAGTTCCAGAGGTGCAGGTGCCCTCGCCCTCAAAAAGTCTGTTTTATTTTTAGCGCCGTGACAATAGATCAATAAACCCAATCGTTTACACCCTTTTTTTTTTTTTTTTTTTTTTTTTTTTTTTTTTTTTTTTTTCCGTGCGGAAATCCCCTCGGATACCACCTGTCGGTGGCATGTCGGACTCGAACCGACTAAAACCGCACGCCTTCGCCGGGTACTAATAGCCGGGGAACCAGGTATACCCTAGAAAGGAAGGCCCTGGTGCCCCGACATACCTCGGGTCATCTACAGACGAGTAGACGACCCCCGCCCCGTGTGGGAACCCCATGTTCCCTGTGCTCCCTGGAAGCGAGCGCGCTTCGCAACGCGCTCGCCGAATCGTTTACACCCTAGCTCGGGGTTAGATTAGATTGAAAGAAGAAAGATACAAAATATTGCATACGTAAACCATATCGTTTGCAAGTCTCAGGAATATGCTAGTCATAACACCGCGGGTGAACGAGACGAAGTTTGCGGCTGGCGGGGGGAGGTGCTCCCGCCCTTTACCTCAGGCTCTGGTCTGCATTAAACTCGCAAGTTGTGCACCCACAACACATACTGTTATTGTGTAATGTCTTCGTACTGTCTTACATACATAACGAATAAATTATGTATAAGACATAGGCTTGCCAGATGCCCGGGAAATCCGGGATTGTTCCGGAATTTTGCGTCTTGTCCCGTGTCCAGTAATTAGACCTTATTGTCACGAATTCTGAAAACCTACTAGTTTTGTAACAAAATAAACTAACAACGATTGACACGGCTGGCATGCCTGTGAGTGCGGGCGGCGCGCGGGAGGGGAGTGCTTACTAAGTGCGTAGATACCTGCCTAATAAAAATATGTATTTGAGAAAAAATGGCATTTTCCTTATCAAATACAAATATAAATCCTTTGAAAATAAAAAAACAAGATACTTTTTACTTTATAGCCACGACCCGACACCGTTGTCCTAGAATTGTCCCGGATTTGATTTTCCCCGAAGTTTCCCGAAGTTTCTATCTGGCAACCCTAAGACACTGTTACACGTGCTTGCTTGCTCTGTTAAATAACATACGTACTGGATATGGTAGCATCACTTGCTTGTAAGTATTGTTAACATGATAGGTTACAGTTATGACCCATTGTCTCGACATAACTTCAGGTATGTAACCATATGACTACAATATTGTAACAGGAGTAGGAAGTTGTATCCCGATATGGTTATAATAGCTATTGAGTTGATTACTTCGAATTGCATCCTTTATTTTACTGATAAATAGGAGATAAAGCGAATATATTGTGTTGATTTGACCTCAGTGTGTCGTTTATAAACAATGAGTCTATGAAAATGATATATACCCGTTTATGTTATTATCTTATCTATTATCTATACAAATAAATAAAATGGGAGTGTCTGTTTGTAATATTAAAATAACCGCTTTTTACTAAATGCATATGTATGTTTACACGGTACATATGCCAAAATATATTTTTTTACAATTTTTGTCTGTCTGTCTGTTTGTTCCGGGTAATCTCTGAAACGGCTGGACCGATTTCGACGGGACTTTCACTGGCAGATAGCTGATGACATAAATAGTAACTTAGGCTACTTTTTTTAGACTAGCTTTGCCCTGCGGCGTTGTCCGCGGTTATAACAACAAACGCGGGTAACACCGCGGGTCTCAGCTAGTGTTAAATATAAGCTCTGTGTTCATTGTAATTTTTTAGACTTTTTTTTTTTTTTCATGATTTTTCATGATTTTCATTTCATTGAGATTTTTTTTTTCATGATTCAAAATGTTAAATAGTGAATATGGAGACACTTTTATCAAAATATGCAATTGACTCATAATATTCATAAAAAAATTACTAAATTTGTCAAAACGTATGAATCTATAAACGGTGAGTTATAGTATACTAGCGGACCCGACAGACGTTGTCCTGTCAAATTTGACACTGCGATGGTAGCGCCGTCCTTCTGATCCAATGTAAAACATTCCAAAATCAACAACTACTAATAAATTAAAAATTAATTAAAAAAAACATTGTCCAGCGGACAAAATTGTGAATCTAAACCATTCCCAGATCCCCTTGAACACACACAAAAAATTTCATCAAAATCGGTCCAGTCGTTTGAGAGAAGTTCAGTGACATACACACTCACAGAAGAATTATATATATAAAGATATACCTAAATAAAAGCAGGTCTATTCCCGACTACAGGTATGAAACTATAAGTACGCGGCGGGTTTGTCGAGGCAAATTCCTTACGTCAACTCAGTAACTTAGCAGGCAAAGAATTGAAAGATCCGATGCTGTCAGATGTTACCCTTAGAGTTGATATTTTCAAATTTGCATTTAACCAAACGGAAAATATATTCTTCTAAATTAAAAATAGTTTTCTAAATTACTTCATGACAGTGTTTAGAGGTAACAAAAATAAAACTGAATTGTGAACATCCTCCTTTTACTTAACCAATAGAAATCAACAACAATAGAAATCAAATTAAGAAGACCAACATATAAATAAAAAAATATAAAGAAGAGAATAACGGTTAAACGCTTTATTTAATCCAATGTAATTTTTCATTCCAAATTTGAAAATAATTTCTTTTTTCCAGCATCTGGCCGGCAGTTCTCCGGCAAGCGACGTACGGGACGATCAAGTTCGGCACTTATTACTCGCTGAAGAAGTGGATAGCGAAGCACCGAGCTGACGGGGGAAGCATAGAGCACGTGCCCACTAATACATTCTGTGCGGCGTTCGCCGGTGGCCTGTCTAGTGCCATAGCGAACCCTACTGATGTACTTAAAGTTCGGATGCAGGTAAGCAAGAACTTTGTCAATACAGGAAAAACGTCCGCATTTAGGTGGAAGAACTGTAATAGTCCCAATAATGGTTTTAAAAATATTGTTTTTGCCGTGGCCAGTTCTGACTTACGCCCTCCACTTTGAACAAAAAAGGACTGCTTACAAAGATTTCTTATATCACTTTCAGAAGGAGCGCGTATGCAGTGCTCACTGCAATTTTATACAGTTTTATTATTCGTCAGTTTGGTTGTTTTTGCGTTAAAATTCTCTTTTAAAATGTAATATAATTACTGTGATACGTTTTCTGTAACTTTCTAGGTGGGTGAGGAAAAACGGGGCATAGTTCGATGTTTTATAAGCATTTATGAGCTGGAAGGTGCTCGCGGCCTGTGGCGGGGCGTAGGCCCCACGTCACAGCGAGCTGCCGTCATAGCCGCCGTGGAGTTGCCCGTGTACGACGCCTGCAAAAAGAGACTGACGGTTCCTTTAGGAGACACGCCTCTCAATCATTTCGCGTCGAGTCTGGTGGCCAGTCTGGGGAGTGCTGTGGCGAGTACACCGTTAGACGTTATAAGGGTGAGTTTACAAGTCTTAAATTTAAGTGACAAATTTTGGTTTGCGTGTGTTTAAATACTTTAAAGGAATTGTCAGTAGAATTATTCATGGTGGATTACAATCTTTTATTTGGTGCGGATGTAAACGTTAACTAATGTTAACTAAGTTCCTTCTAAGTTCTTTAAATTCCTTATGAACTTTCGTTTTAATTTGTTTTAAAAAGACAACTCCCGCATTAGTAATAAGTATATCCTGTGTCGCGGGGGACTTTACAAACATACATGAAACGGACACAAAGAACACCCAGACTCAGAACAACAATTTGTGGATCACACAAAGTGTCGTCCCATGTGGGGATCGGACCCACAGCACTTAGCGTAGTAGTAAGCGGCGTGGCGACCGCTTAAGCAACTACGCCATTCGTGCAGACGACTGACAAAATAAACTTTTTACACACCATGTAATAATGTTTGTAAGTTACTTAAGAAACGCCGATTTCGGTACCTACTAATGTTATTGATATAGATATGGATGATTAGAGTTTAGATTCGTGAATCCGTATATCCGAGACGTAGCTATAGTCTATCAACGTCGTGCGCGACCGTCCTGCGGGGTGACAGACGGTGGCGGGGACGAGGTACTCAAGATGTCAGCGGGTAGCGGGTGGTGTAGCGGGGAAGGGAAACGCGTTAGCCGTGTGCTAGAATGACGCGCTACCTCGACCCCGCCACTGTCTGTCACCCCGCGGGACGGTCGCGCACGAGATTGCCGGGTTATAGTACCTCTAGTAGTCTTCAGAACATCACTAAAAACCTTACAAACATCTGTTTATTCCATTATGCATCTTAAATGAAAAATAAAAGAAATCTGTGGTTTTTAAATCATTCCTGTATGCTATTGTTTCAGACAAGACTAATGAACCAAAGAAAGATGAAGGGTCAAATTGCGAACCCTAACGAGAGGATATACAAAGGGACTGTGGACTGCTTCCTACAGGTATACACATACTTTTACTTTTTTGACCTTTACTTGTACAACACCTTCTCAAAAAGGGTTTTGCACGCTTTCCCGAAAAGTATTTGACTTGATGTTGTGATAGTAATGCGCCTTGGCCTCCATAACGCTTCCTTGAGGGTGGCAGAGACCCCGAGATGTATGTATTACGCTTCCTTGATGTCCGAAAAAAAAAGATTAATTGCAAAAAAGTACTATGTTCGGTTTTTATACTACATTAGAAAAAACTAAACCTATCTTTGTGTATTATTCGATAGACTGTACGCAACGAGGGGTTCCTGGCCCTGTACAAAGGGTTCATTCCAACGTGGCTGCGGATGGGTCCCTGGAACATAATCTTCTTCCTCACGTATGAACAACTCAAGCAGTTCTACTGAATACTGTGTGATTTTGTCGTCGACACCAGAGGTCGGTGGCGGCGTGCGATTTGTGATAAGGTAAGATCTACACACACTAAAAATATTTTTTATTAATTTTTATTTTTTAAAGACAAATCCCGCATTAGTAATATATTCCTGTGTCCCGGGGGACCTTACAAACATACATGAAACGGACACAAAGAACACCCAGACTCAGAACAACATGTTGATCACACAAAGTTCGTCCCATGTGGGGTTTGAACTCACAACACTAGGCCCAGTAGTAAGCGGCGTGGCGACCGCTTAAACCACTACGCCATCCGTGCAGACGATAACTCGTCGCCGAACATCGCGCTATTACGAGGGTTGCTATTTATGTATCTGGAACTGGCCAGTTATAGAATAATATTAGGACTGCACGGATGGCGTAGTGGTTTAAGCGGTCGCCACGCCGCTTACTACTACGAGTGTTGTGGGTTCGATCCCCACAAGGGACGACACTTTGTAAGGATATACTCCGTTGTGGCGTCATTTAGAAAATTGCGTATCTTTATCACTATCATCAGCAGCCCTTAACAGTCCACTGCTGGACATAGGCCTCTCCTTAGAAACAAGGTTTTGGCCTACTATACCAAGCTGGCCAGACGGGTTGGTATAGGGTTTGTGTTAACGAGGAGGTCGACGTGGGGGCTGGTCGCTTTCGCGATACGATTACGCATATCTGCGATGCGGCCATGCCCCGCATTCGAGGTCGTCGGCCTCCAAGGAAGGAGGTTTACTGGTGGTCCCAGGAGCTGGCGGACCTCCGTGCGGCCTGTACACGTGCCCGGAGGTCCTACACGCGCAGTCGGCGGCGTCACCGTGGAGACGGTGAGGAGGACCGGCTTCATGAGGAGTACCGACAGGCGCGGAAAACTCTGAAGCTGGCCATTAGCCGCGCCAAAGAAGAAAAGAGAGAGGAGATGTTGGAGGGTCTTAATCGTGACCCCTGGGGTCGCCCTTACCGCGCGGCGCGACAAAAGCTCCGCGCGTCGGGCCCCCCCCTTACGGAGACTCTCCAGCCCAGCTTCCTGCGAGAAGTGGTTGAGGGCCTTTTCCCGCAACGAGCGGAACACACTCGCCCGGCGATGGCCTCCTTGGCCGGAGACGACGGGGAGCACGAGGAGGATGATGTTCCGCCCGTCCGGGATTCGGAGGTAGGGGCGGCTGTTCTACGGATCCGTTCCAAGAACACCGCCCCTGGGCCAGACGGGGTACCGGCCCGAGTGCTGGCCCTTGCCCTCAACCACATGGCAGACCGCCTCGGGGAGGTTCGACGCTAGCTTGGCGTCGGGACGTTTCCCTGAGTGCTGGAAGAGCGGGTAGCTGCTCCTATTAAGGAAGCCGGGACGGCCTGCCGATTCGGTCGCGGCCTACAGGCCCATCGTACTGCTGGACGAGGCGGGTAAATTGTTTGAGAGGGTTCTTTCTGCCCGCATCGTCCGGCACCTCTGCGAGGTGGACCCCGATCTGTCGGACGCCCAATTTGGTTTTCGGGCGGGGCGTTCGACAGTCGACGCCGTGTTGCGCCTGAGGGCCGTGACCGAAGAGGCCGTGAGCTGTGGCGGCGTGCTGTTGGCGGTGTCATTAGACATCGCCAACGCATTCAATAGTCTGCCATTCAGCTGCATCAGGGAAGCACTCCACTATCATGGGTTGCCAAAGTACCTGAGGCGGCTAGTGGCAGACTATTTAGAGGAGCGTAACGTCGTGTACGAGGACCGAGATGGTAATTTGAGGTGTCGGCCCATGTCGTGCGGTGTTCCACAGGTGTCTGTTCTTGGACCCCTCTTGTGGAACATAGGGTACGACTGGGCCCTTCGAGCCGATTTCTCCCCCGGGCTGGGTGTAATCTGTTACGCGGACGATACCCTGGTGACAGCCCGGGGGGCGAACTTCCAAGAGGCGGCGCGCCTGGCCACAAGGGGAGTCTCCCTGGTGGTCGGGCGCATTGAGGCGCTGGGCTTACGGGTGGCCCTAGATAAGACGGAGGCCCTGTTATTTCATGGGCCCCGTCGTGGTCCACCCTCTGGCGCCTCAATCGTGGTCAACTCGGTGCTCGTACCGGTTCGGGCCCAGATGAAATATCTGGGCCTGATCCTCGACGGGAGGTGGCTCTTCGACGAGCACTTCCGACAGCTTGCTCCAAAGCTGGTCGGCGCTGCGTCTGCCCTAGGGCGACTTTTGCCCAATTTGGGTGGACCCAGCGTCGCGACAAGACGGCTGTACACGGGGGTTGTCCGGTCAATGGCACTGTACGGTGCACCGGTGTGGGCGGCGGCTCTGACCGCCCAGAATAGGGCACGCCTCTGGCGCCCTCAGAGGGTAATGGCGGTCAGAGCCATACGCGGTTACCGCACCGTTTCGACGGAGGTGGCATGCGCGTTGGCCGGAACTGCCCCGTGGGATTTGGAGGCGGAAGTGCTCGCCGAAGTTTATCGGCGAGTGCCTGACTCCCGGGCGGAGAGCGGATTTCGCCCTCTGCCCGAGGATGTGCGCGAGTGGCGCGAAGCCGCTCGCCGAGCCACGATGGCTCGTTGGTCGTTCCGGCTGGAGACTCCACGCGCTGGCTTCGCCGCCGTGGAGGCTCTCCAGCCGGTCATCGCCGAGTGGGCAGGGCGTCAGCACGGGACCCTTACCTTCCGGCTGACGCAGGTGCTTTCCGGGCACGGTTGCTTCGGAAAGTACCTGCACTCGGTCGCTAGGAGGGAACTGAGTCCCGCCTGCCACCACTGCGACTGCAGTGAGGACTCGGCCCAGCACACGCTGGCGTCTGGCTGTCTTAACAACAGCTGTTCCCGGATCCCTCCTGTTACAGGCGCAGAGTGGCACACCGTGTGGTTTTAGTCGGTCCGAGTCCGACACACCACCCCGCCGCAAACCCCGGTGGGGTGACGGTCCGAAGGGATTTCCACAAGTTAAAAAAAAAAAAAGGGTTTGTGTTAAGTTTTCCTTCTCTTTGCAGTGCTGTTGTCCTGCGTAGTTTGCTCTCTTAGTCGGCTCTTACAACACCCACGGGATGAATATTGTCTGTTGGTCTACCTTGTCAATGTCTTTTATAAAGTTATCGGCTATTGCGTTTATAGATGGAATACGACCTTTGTAGTCTACTTTCTCAGGAATTTAAAGGGCACGGCAAGGTTCCTGATATTAATCCGTCTCAATGTAGTTGTAGTATAAAACCTAAGTATTACAATTTTGAACATTATTATTAAATATTTATTTATTTATTTCCAGATCACTATTTGGAAGCTGTGAATGGGAGACATCTAGGAGTCAAATTAAATGAGAGAGTGGGCTTATATCTTAAGTATATATATATATGGTTATTATTAAGACACCTTGACGATTATTTGAAGTTTCCATAGGAAAATAAGTTTTTGTGTACCAAACGCTGACCTTGCATTTTACAAGCTATTATCGCTTGGAGATAAGATTCAAAATGTAATATAGTGATTTGGGCTGTTGTAGAATTGACTTTTTGAAATTGTTGACTTCAACTTCTCAGAGTTAAAAAAGCTTACTGCCAAATGTAGTTTAACGACATTAGGCGTTATTTGTATAAAGTTTAAGTTTGTAATGCAATGTTAGGTTCTATAAGTAATGGCTGACATGCACACAATATGTTTTATATAGATAGACTATTAGTTTAATGTGTAATATAATATTTGTATTTAAAACCAATGTAAATAGCAAATTCAATTCAAATTCTCTAGGTATCATCCCTTAATTACGAATGCGAGAGTTTCTGAGATACGTTCATGGATGAATATTATTTACTTCTATCAAAACTTCTAAACCAAATTAGTTGAAATTAAGTGTACAGATGGTTAATGACCTGGATTACGTCACAGAATACTTTTGCGGGGTAAAAGAGGCCCATGTTCGCGAAGGTGCTGCCAGTAGCCCTAGTCAACAGAATTTAGGTAGGTAGGTTTTAGGCCTTTAGGTCCTGTGTCGCGGGAACTGTACAAACATACATGAAACGGACACAAAGAACACCTAGACTCAGAACAACAATTTGTGGATCACACAAAGTGTCGTCCCATGAGGGGTTTGAACCCACAACACTCGGTGTAGTAGAAAGCGGCGTGGCGAACGCTTAAACCGCTACACCATCAGTGCAGTCAATCTGTATGTATGTATCATGTAATCAATCTAGTTTTTTTTCAATGCTTTATAGCACACGTAATATAAGTGAGGATATAACGCCATTCCATATTAAGTCACGAGTATATTTTAAATAATCTAGCAAAGTAACCACAAAAGGGACAAAATCCTCACGTAATTATTGGGCGATACCTGAAAGGCCAATTCTCCTAATAAAAGTTCGGTGTCTGAATTCAGTTCCGATCAACTTTCGATCTCACAACTGTCATAAAACGCAGGCACGCTCACACAGATACACACACACACACTCTCCCTCTCACACACACACACACGCTCGCACAGACACACACACACACGTGCACACACACACACAACACACATACACTTTCAAATCCTCAACGTTTTACTCCACATGCTTAGTTTTTAGAGTTGTAAATGTGGTAGAATAAAATGGAACGTTTGTATCAGATCCAAAGGTGGGCGTTAGTGACTGCGCCACAGTGTTTCACAAACACATTTGAAATATTGTAATCTGTGTTTTTAGTTTTAAAAAAAGAATTTTTATTATTATTTATTATAAAAGGTATTTGCGTATGAAAGTATTAAACATATAACGTTGACTGTCATCTGATTATATCGTATTGTGACCGAAAATAGGATAGATTCCTAGGTTTAAAATAAATTATTTCCCCTGCATCATTAAATGTAACATCTCAAAATAGAGCCTGAATTGTCCTCCATTATCAATTTATTGTTTTTATTGATTTAATATCTTGATATCAACATTAAATATAAATGATTTGACAATAGCTAGGTATGACGTCACGAAATAGTATTTATTTCTATTTATTCTTTATTGTACACACTGA